CTCGATTTTCCAGATTCTAGAAAATCAAAATCGATTTTCTATAAATAATTCCCAACATTCTTGAAATTCGACAGCGATTTTCTAAATAGTTGGAAAATCGAATTCGATTTTCTAAGACGAATCGGCCTCATTTTTATGTCTGAATTTAGCATCTTCCAAAAATGTAGTTGGTTCTATTAACTCAAAGAGATGATCCTATCAATTCACATTTATTTTCTTTATTTTCTAAATAAAATAACAGTCTTTCAACACATGATCAATGTCGAATTTGGTATTCATTATTAAAAGATCCATATTGTCATCCAATAAGCTGAAATAATACACCCCACTCAACTTCGAAGTTCAATAGCTTTTAATAACGGTGAAAAAGTTTATCATCAGCCATTTTCACTTTGCAAGTCACTGATTATTAGCATCCTCACTCAAATTGTTCTTCCTCATCTAGAAAATCCTCAGCGATTTTCTAGAAAGTAGAAAATAATCCGACTTTTTGATTTTCGAAAAGTCCATATATAAAATCCCTGAGGATTTTCTATAAATAATTCCCAAGAATGTAGAAAATTGATGTCGATTTCCCAGCTTTCTTGAAAATCGAGCTGCATTTTCTATAAATAACTCCCAAGAATGTAGAAAATCGACATCGATTTTCTACATTATTGGAAATTCGATTTTCTATAATCTAGAAAATCCGTGAGGATTTCATATATGGACTTTTTGAAAATCGCCGAGCATTTTCTATAAATAATTCCCGACTTTACAGTGTATGTATAGTACTATGAGTTATATATATATATATATATATATAGTACGGGAATTGACAAAACAAATTGGTGGTTTCATCGTCAACGAATCTTGTTATTTCAGACAAGAATCTTTCACGAAAAAAGATGAAAAGTTCAAAGAAGAATATTGTTTGATCTATCAGTGATAGATCAGACAAAATTCTTCTTTAAAGTTCTAAAACAAAATCTTTAAATTTGTCTGGAACAAATGTAAAGATTCTTCTCTGAAATGGCAAGAGGCAAGAATCTTGCAAGAATATCGATCAGTGACACATCTCAAAGATGAAATAATGCGTGAAAAGTACATAGTCTAATTAATGGTCATCTATCTGAAAATTTAGTCCGAAGAAAAATTTTATCCGAGAAAATTTATTTGACGGAACTAGAGTGAGAGAAGCAGGATCCAGAAAAATGTAACAATAGTTTTAAATGTTATGCTTTGTTTTCCTTCTAACTTATGACATTTTTTTTCTTGTTCAAGGCTCTGGTAGAATATAAAATATATCTAGACACTTTCATGATAAATGAAAGTTCGTAAAAACGAAACAGAAATGAATAGCCCCACAAGATATTTTCTTTTCCATTTCGTCGCGTGTCTATACACGAAAAGAAAGGAAAGAAAAAACGTCAATGGTCACTATATATAGCGTACGTTAGTGAATTCTTACGAACACGGTCTCATCTCTACTGTGGATTCAGTTATGACGAATAATATACACACCGTTTTATGAAAACATTTTTAACAAAAAGTTTTCCCATTTTTATTATTAAATCTCTGATATATATCACAGTTTAAAACAGTAATTTGACAAAAAAAAAACACATGTATTTAAAAAACTGTTTATTTTTTTTTCTTCTTTCGTTATCCGGTGAATGCTGCATATCTGATCGACTTTCTTGTCAATGCTCTGCAAAATTCCTATCTCTTGTCATTTCAGCTAAGGATCTTCTTAAACAGTTTACATATGGTTTTATCTCAAGATTTTTGGCTGAAATCGCAAGACAGAAATTTCAGTCAAAAACCTTGTCATAGATTTCCTTCAAGAATCTTGTCTTGTAATTCTTGAAAGAATCTTGCAAACAAACCAACATATAATCCATTTTGCGTTTTCTTTTCATATATATGGGAGCTAGCCGCTCTGATGCTAATACAGACACATAAAGACTGGATTGTCGCACGACGAGAATCTTGTAAGATTTAAAAAAATTTTAATGAACATTACCTATAGTATTGTGTGTTACATGTATGTTATATATATATATATATACATAGCACGAGATTTGACAAAAAAAGTTGGTGGTTTCATCGTCAACGAACCTTGCTATTTCAGTCACGAAAAAAATATGAACACTTAATAGAATCTTATCTGACCTACCACTGATAGATCAGACAAAATTCTTCTTTAAATTTCTTCTGAAACAAAATCTTTAAATCAGATTTTAGTCTCAGACAAGTTTACAGATTCTTCTCTGAAATGGCAAGAGACAAGAATGTCTCAAGAACATCGACCAGTGACACATCTTAAAGAGGAAATAATGCGTGAAAAGTACATAGTCTAATTAATGGTCAACAAGACGGATGACACGTGCGTCATATTCGCCGAGAAGTGCTAAGATAGAAAAAGAAATTCCTGATGTATTTACAGATATATTTGAGATATACACTTTCACTTCTAATAGAGATCACAGATATTCACATATGCGTTGTATCTAGAGCAAGTAGGCCAAAATCTAGCCCTTAAAATTCTCTACCGATTAGCTGTAATGCGAATTTTCTATCATTATTTCTGTGTTTTCAGTAATGTTTTTTGCAAAAGCCCTATGACCGTTTTTTTAGCTTTTTCAACCTGTATTTTGGGGCTATTTGTAAAATGAACATTGCTCAGACAAAACTGAACCAATTAGGCTCATTCTTTCGTCATTTTGAAGACGAATGTTTGATCTACTCGACTCATGTGCGAAATGCTTGATGTAACTTTTCTGGATAAAATCAAAACGTCGTAAAACTTTCCATGCCCCGCAATTATATATAGAAACGTATTTTTTACTTTATTTATTGTACTAAAGCTAACAACAACAAACAGCAAAACAAGATACTAATAGTACAAAAAAAAATTTGTAACACCTGGTTATAGAAAATGTGAGTACTCTAAAATTGAAAATAGGATTAGAAGATGAATGATTTGGTTGGAATCCAAAGAATAGTATAAACTAGAAAGTCTTACTTTTTATACGTTTCGAACCAGGATCACCACCCGCTTCGTGCGATCGTTTTGAAGAAAGATAATGTAATTCTTCTTCTAATTTCTTTACACGAGAACGTAAATCGTGGTTACCTAATCGTACTCGATGCAGTTCGCTTTTTAAAATCTCATTTTTGACATTGTTGATATTATTGGTCGCTCTGTCATTTTCTTCGAAATATTTTTCTAATTTCACTTTGAAACACAATATGCATCGTTCTTCATTTTCAATAAGTATCTTGTCCACCACGTCGTAATCATCAAATTCCACGATAAAGTTTAATAATTGATCATTACGTTTTATGGAGACAATTCGACCTTGTGATTTTAGCATTTCATTCATCATGGATATATCAACGACTTGGTATTCATCGAATGTCAGAAATGTGATCAATAAACAATTCGATATTTGATAACGACATTTATCTTTTTCATGCGTTTCTTTTGGATACATTCGTTTACAAGACCATTTTCTCCCACCGATGTTGTGTTTTTCCTTGTCTTTCATGAATGCATCAACAGCTTTCTTTGATTTGAATTTGATAAAAAATAAACCATGATTATATTTTATAATACCATTTCGTTCATGAAGACGACCGTAATTATCTTCACAGTATTCTTTTATTTCCTCACTTTTAACCAAATAATTAACATTTGAGATGTAAATGGGAACATTATTCTCATTAACTTGAGGATCAAACAATTCAACCTTGCTTTGTTCATTCGACGTTGATCGCAAAATGTTATGGCAAACATTTGGATCGTGATGATACGGTCGAAATACGAACAATTCGCGACGTTGATTGAGACGTGAACGAAGATCATTCATATTTAAGTCACTTGATTCTCGATCGGTCTAAACAAAAGGGAAAAAAATCTCGACTGCAAAATATTATAGAGATAGTTTGACAATCCTATGGCCGGTTAGATTTAGCTTACTTGTTCATCTTGTCTTTCAGTTATTGATGTAGTTTGACTTGTCTTAGTCGATTTCTCGTCATTCTTCACAGTACAAAACAGCCACTTCTACAAATACAAAACCAACTGTTAATGATGATCATTCAAGTATTACGCTGGGGAGTCAAGAAGAGAAATCATCATGGACCAAGTAGAAACAGTAGTACATGCAACTAACAGACCATTAATGATTCAGATCTTTGACTATCGATGTTTGCTGGTAACGAATCCGACGCATTTGAATACTGATTGATGTTTTTTAAAGTTGATCGAAACATTTCACGGATTTTTTCCCAGTCTAAATAAAGCACTACACACTTTCTTGCGTGCGCCACTTACATTCATAACTCACTTTTCGACAATAAATTTCTCGCACAATTTTTTCCGATTTCAAAAGGATCCTCAATAACAATACTGTACTTGTTGTGTAACTGTGATCTCAATAATGGCATAGATGTACGAATGGACAACACATGTTTATTAAAATCAAAATGACTTGTATAGTAAATTAAAAAATTTTTAAATAATTCATTAATTGACAACGTGTTTTTTTGTGCTTGTTTCCATACGTTTTTCTATAAAGGAAAAAAACAACGATACGTAGTATCAACAGCACACAAGAAGAAACTAGTATTAACAGTTGAAGCCAGAAAAAAGATCAACTTACTAAGTTTGATAAATCATCATAAAAATAGACATTATATGTTTCATTATTCCAAGATATTTCGTATTTTTTATCCCCTTTTCCAATCTAAACATATAGTATAGTAAAAGAACCATAGAAAGGTTGTTCAACAAACTATTACCTCTTGTAAATATGGTAGTATGGGAAGAGTGATTCTTTGCAAAAAGTGGATTATCATAAGAACATATGAATAACTAGACAACGATTGTTTCGAGGAATCACACAAATGATGATACTGTAAAAGAACAAACAGAAGAACAAAATTATTGCATTAAACGAGCTTTAATTTACTTTAGACAGTAATTTGACTAAAATACAAAGAGATATTACTCTTTCGTCGATTAAACCGTATGTCTGGAGTAATTGACTATTTTTTAATGCCTGAAACAAAAAACAAATTTCTTGCCAATCGTGAAATAATATATGCAATTGCTTAACTCACTAGTGGATTATAATTACAAATGTCGACATGAATGTTATTTGAATGAACACATTTCACTATTGGTACACTTGCACTTTTTAGATAAAAAACGTTGCTAAAGTTTGTCGATTTTCTAAGTAATTTATATACTGTATTAAGGACATCAGTTTCTTGATAATTATGGCTTTCCTAAGACAAAAAGACAGAGCGATAGTCGTTTAGCAGTAATTTTTACTTTTTGTTATGCAACGTAAAGACAATAGTGGTGAGAACTCTCATTCTTTTGAAGAGTTATTCTAAAAATGGATCTGATCTTATGACTTTTCCCGTATAGTGTGGAAAAAAACAAGTTCTCCGCCGACAATGAATGAGACGCTTAAAGTGCCCATAGGATGACACGTTTTTGAGATACATTTTTGTGCTGGAAGTTCCCCGAGCAGGACATCTCAAGTGTCCTACTCATCATCAATGAAAGTGTTCCCTTTTTAGCTTACGGTGGACTTATTTCTTGAGTGTATGATTGACACATAGAGACGTAGAATAATTTTTTCCTTCTGACCTAAGAACTTACCTGAACTAAACACAAATCAATATCGCTAGATTTAATAGCGAGGCCACTAGCTGACGAGCCAAACAGTTTCAATTCAAAATTTTCAATTTTATTTTTCAGTTCTCGTGTGAGATCTGTAACAATATCATTCACTTGACAAGGTTTGACTGTTGTTTGTTTGTTTCGTTCTAAAATGATTTATATTTTTGTCATATTAAATATATATTATTTAAACCAGTACATCTCCAATTACCAACTAATATTTCAAGTATTCGTGCAATATGTGCATTATTTGACAAATCGATAATTCTAGCCGACGTATACGATTCAACCTTAGATGTAGACATGTCAATTTGACTGTTAACAATTCAACCTTGTTAATTCTGAAATTAAAATATCATATGATCTAGAAATAAAATACAAATGCATGTCCAGTAATAGAAAGTTCCTACAGTTCGACGTTATTTTTCTTTCGATTGGGAAGGCGCAAAGAGAAGTTCTGTTCAATGTTGTTCTGTGAATCAACCCTATGAACTCCTTAACAAAATAAGAGTGAAAATTGAGAAAAAAATGTCTTATTGGTATCTCCTTAGTCTTTCTGTCAAGGTATCTGGTATGTATACACCGCCTATAAAACATTAATCAAGCCAGAAAGATGATGAGTGATGATAAGCCAGGCGCATTGAACTTTTTTTAATAGGAAACAAAAAAAGGAAAATAGACAGAAAAACTTCAAACAGATGAATGTTTATTGAAATTCGCTCACGTTCATTGTGATGTAAACTATCATTCGATGCTTTACATAGATATTCTAACATCTACAAAAGAAAACAGCTAATTACTAAGACCAACGTTATAAAAATTATAAGACAAATTACTTTACAAGGACAGAGTGTAGTGCATGTTGCTTTCAACAGTCATGTTAAGAATAAGAAAACTGAAACTTATTTGTCTACATTTGAATCATGTCAACTGTGTACTATCAGCTTTTCATGAAGCACCACATAGCTGGAGTAAACTAAACTTTTGATTATTCGCAGCGAGACTGAAAATCACATTAAACAACGGTCTTACTTTTTAAAACATTATGGCACTCAAAGTCGATCTTTATCGTACGACAGGGAGTTGACCAACGTTTACATTGTAGATTAAACTCCCATCTACAATTCTATCAGAAGAGAAAAATTTGTCTCCTATCCTTAACCGACTTTATCTTATAACCAAAAATGATCTTTAGACAGCTTCCAAAAATCACCTGAATTCTTATAAATTCAAAATCGAAATGTATCCGACTATATGTATTTTTTATGCTTGTTTCTACGGCAAAGTCTTTTGAGAAATTGCTTCGGCCTTTCTAGTGGTTTATATTGTTCTGAAAAATAAAGTTAAAATCGTTTTAGAGTAATTGTCAGTATGAGCAGTCTCATTTTGAAGAGGAGAATCTGTTCTGTGAGATGTAGTTTGAAAAATCTTTGATCTCAAATCAACATGATATCGACAAAAACCGTCTCTTAACACATTTGCTAAATATGGTGGTTTGATTTCAATCTCTTTTTGTGCGGGATATACATGGCAGAAAGATAATATTTAGAAGAATCTATAATTTTGAACTTTTTTCTCGGTGTCGTATTCTGAGAGATTGACCATTTACGTCCTCTACGTTTAGTATTCTAAAAGTCAAGGAAAGTCAGGACGATGTTACCATCACAGAGCGAGTCGAGGCAGAAGTTTTAAATATAAACGCTTCTAGAAGCTCGACAACAGCCACATTCACGTCAATTATATGCGTTTCAATGGATCATTAACTCTCTAAAAGTTTGCGAAAATTTTCTGAAAAAATGCGCAATAAAGGTCTCCATAGGGAAATAATGTTTGTTTTAAAAAATTTTGAAACTTTTGGCAATATGTCGAGCTAAAAACAATAATTGCCCCTAGACTACCGACTAAAAGAATCCCAGAGTATATACTTATACTCGAGTATACTAGGGTAGAAAGTTTTCAGTACTCATACTTGGAACGTTTTTTTACGAGTACTTGAAATTTTTTTACTATTGTGCTTTATAAAGAATTTTTGGTCTTGCAAAATGAATAAATGTTATCATTGTAGTCACGGAAAAACTACTTTCCCTCTTAGTTCTTTTTCCCTCTTACTCTCAGTTATGTGCTAGGTTTTTGTGTGTTGTGAAGTCGCTCTCCCTTTCTTTCTATCTATCTTTCTGTTGGTAAGAAGACGTATGGGAACTGTAAAAGCAGATAGGAAAAAACAAAGACTTCTTATCTTTTCCTATAGAAGAAAATAACTCGGAAAAAAAGGTGAACTACGTGAACCAGACCAATAGAGCGAATTTTTTTCGCAAAGCGGCTTTATCATCCGCCTACATCGTTCAAAGTTATCAGCATCAACTTTATGAATGTTAACACTTTTAAAATGTAATGATCTTCTAGAATAGTGTTTCATTCTTATGTGTTCTGATAAAGTAAAACAAGTGAATAATAAAAAGTAAAATAAAAAACTAAGACCGAAGATTAACTCTCCTTCAACTGATAACTACAAAGATATTGAAAATGGCTATTGTTAGGCAGCTAAAACTTTTTCCATGACTATTGTCTTCTTTTAGAAAATTTTGTACTCAAGTAGTACTCGAATACTTTTTAGAAAATACCCGGTGATATGATTGTTTTCACCATAAACGGCTGTTATTAGTTACTTTCGAGATATCTTTACAGCCTAATTTATTTTTGCTTGATATTTTCAGATAATAGTAATTGCCATTTTTTAAATATTTTTGGTTCTTTGAGTCCACAGTGCCATCACTGGAACCAGTCTCAGAACCACAGGCTACCTCCACGAAACGTACGATTCACATTCCGTTGATTTCTACGGTTAAGAGAAAATCTTTTTAATGTTTTTCAGACAAACGAGTGGTGTTTATATATGACTGATGATAGGAAAACAAGGAGGAATGGAACCGTCAGGGCAAAATATGCCATTTAATTGCGACAGTTATTTTACACTTGTTGATACACGGTTAAATATCTATTTCGGCTGTTTATGATGGTCAAAAAAAGGCATTTAATTGCAACTCTAAACTGCCGTTTTTCAACCGATGCATAGCTGTTAAATGTTTTCCGACCATTATCAACAGTCAAGCAACGGACAATAAAGTGTACGGTAACTGGCAGTTTTCCAATAGTTTTTTGCCTATTAAGTGTCCGGTTTTTAGCATATATTAACAAGTATTGCACAGCGGCTTGTCCACGAACTCGAGACTTCGCTGATCAAGTTTTTGAAAAAATTACTTTAGAGTAGAACTGATAGGAGCATATCACTAGATACAGTTTTCGACGCTGATTACGAATCTCACATTAGTTTTTGAAAAACGTTAAATTTTGGTACTAAAAACCCAGTTTTACATTTTTTAAAAACTGTATTTTCAATTTCCTCATCTAGACACTTTTCCTAATAAAAATCGAAGGCCACACTAATCGATAGAGAATTCGATTCTCTACAAGTTGATATGTTTCTTTTGAAGTTTAGACTCAGAACCAGCTTTTTAATAAAGTTTTAAGTTTTAAGATTTTCACACAATTCTAAGAAAGTGAAAACATTTTTTCAGCTTTATTTTCACCTTAGTCTATAT